GGTTGGGCTGGGGGAGCTGAATGGGCTTTGCCAACCTCAACAATTCCATGATTCCACAAAGGGAATGGCCCCTGGGCAGGAGTCGCCATGCTGCTCACCCTGGGCACACATTTCACGTCTCTCCTCACCTCGCGACCTGCAGCACCTCCTCCAAACGCCCGAGCGCCCCCTACACCTCACCCTGCTTTGCTCTGATTCTGCTCCCAGGTTCTGGCGGATCAGTGGTGGCCTCCTGATCCTCCTGATCTGCAGCATTAACATGTACTTCGTGGTGACCTACGTCATATCCCTGAACCACATGGCTTTGTACATTGGGGCTGGGATTCTCAGCGTCATCTACCTGTCCTTTGTGGCGTATTTGGTAAGTCCAGCTCCAGCAGAGGCTGCTCGTAGGCAGGACAAGTCGATGGATTTATTTTCTCCCCATTAGGTCAATACCGTCACGTTTTGCAGGCGTTAAAGTCGGCCGCAGGGTCAGAACAGATGGGGAAGTTGAGGCTTTCGCGGCCGGATTTGCATGAGAATCAGTTCTGTGCCGCGCCTGCCAACCCACACAGCCTTGCCCCGGCTTTTCCGATCGTCTCTTTAGCAATTCGTGTGCTCGCTCTTCCCAAAAAGGCCTCGGTTTTATGTCATGGTGGGTGAAAGGATGGCAGAGGCTTTGGGATATCGTGCGGCTGCCCTGCACTTTGCCAGAGCTGTAAAATTGTAGGATGATTGGAGAATCACCGAGCGGTTTGGGTGGGAAGGGACCTTGAAGATCATCTGGTTCCAACCCCCTGCCGTGAGCAGGGACGTCCCCAACCAGACCAGGTTGCTCACAGCCCCGTCCAACCTGGCCTGGGATGTTCCCAGGGATGGGGTCTCCACCCCCTCTCTGGGCAACCCCTGCCAGGGTTTCACCACCCTCCCGCTAAAGAATTTCTTCCTTAGATCCAGCCTAAACCTCCCCTGGCTCAGTTTCAAACCATCCCCCCGTGTCCTGTCCCAGCCGGCCCTGCTCAAACGATTGTCCCCGTCTTCCCTGGGGGCCCCCTTGAAGCCCTGAGCGGCCGCACTCAGGTCCCCCCGCAGCCCCCTCTTCCCCAGGCTGAACACCCCCAACTCTCCCAGCCCGGCCCCGCAGCAGAGGGGCTCCAGCCCTCGCAGCATTTTTGTGGCCTCCTCTGGCCCCGGGAGCAGAGGGGCAGACTCCCCCCCCAGCCCCACCGGCCCCGCTGCTGGGGCTGCAGCCCAGGGTAGGGTTGGCTTCTGGGCTGCCAGCGCCCATGGCCGGCTCATGCCCAGCTTTTCATCCCCCCCATCCTTCTCGCCTGGGCTCCTCTCCACCCCTTCATTCCTGCATCCGTGTTTGGGGTTGCCCCAACCCCCATGTGGGACCTTGCCCTTGGCCTTGTTGAACCTCACAGGGTGTGCACGGGGCCCCCCTCTCCATCCTGTTGCGGTCCCTCCGGATGGATCCCTTCCCTCTGGAGGATCCACCGCCCCACTCGGCTTGGTGTCACCCACAATGGGCTGTGGGCACCCTCAATCCCACTGTCAGCGTCCCTGACAAAGGTCATCAATCACACTGGTCCCAGTGTGGACCCTGAGGGACCCCACTCCTCGCCAGTCTCCACCGGACACCGACCCATTGACCGCAGCTCTTCAAGTGCGACCACCTGGCCAATTCCAGGCCCACGGCGCTTCCTTACGTGAAGGAGCATGGAGTGATTCTTTATGGGGAGGGGTCTGGAGCCCCAGGGGAGCGGCTGGGGAAGCCTGGGGGGCTGACAGCCGGCTGGATAGGAGCCAGCAGGGTGCCCAGGTGGCCAAGAGGGCCAGCGGCATCCTGGCTTGTCTCAGGAGTGGGGTGGCCAGCAGGAGCAGGGCAGGGACCGTGCCCCTGTGCTGGGCACTGGGGGGGCCGCCCCTCGAGGGCTGGGGTCAGGGTTGGGCCCCTCCCTCCCCGAAGGACCTGGGGGGGGCTGGAGCGTGTCCAGAGAAGGGCAGCGGAGCTGGGGAGGGGTCTGGAGCCCCAGGCTGCTGGGGAGCGGCTGGGGG